TCCCACTGTACACACGTACCTTGTCATGTACACTATACTGATTGATCAGTGTGACGTGACTAGTACACGACTATACTGATTTGTTAGTGTGAACATAGACTTGTAAACATCCCTCAGGATCAATCGGGCATCCACAGTGCAGATCTACTGACAGTTACTAAACATAAATGCATTACATACCCGTAATTTTGGTACTAGGAAGAAGTGCGTTATTTACCCTTAGGGTTGATACTAAGAATGCGTATTTAACTCGCCCCTATGGTTGGTTTCAAGGAAAGTGTGTTACTTACCCTTAAGGTTGTTATTAATTACAAGTGTGTTACTTACCCGTATCCTTGTTACTAGAAGTACGTGGGTCACCAATCCCTATGCTTGTTACTAATATTAAGTGCGTTACTTACACTTATAGGGGTACCAACAGTTAGTGTGTTATTTACACTAATGGTTGGTACTAAGTATAAGTGCGTTACTCACCCTTATGGTTACTCATGATCGTAAATACGTTAGCTACCCTTATGGTGGGTACTTATAGTTAGTGCGTTAGCTACCCTTATGGTGGGTACTTATAGTTAGTGCGTTACCTACACTTATGGTCAGTACAAATAATAAGTCGGTTACGTGCCCATGGTTGTTACTATTAGTAAATGCACTACTTACACGTGTCATTGGTACTAGTATTATATGCGTTCATTACCCTTACGGTTGGTACTAGGATTAAGTGCATTATTTTCTCATATGGTTGGTATATGTGTAAGCGTGTAATATTTTTTTGGTTCGTACTAAGAGTAATTGAGTTACTTACCTTTATGGTTGATACTAAGATTAGCTATATTACTTATGTGCATTAACTATCCTTATGGTTGAACCCCTGTCGAAGGTCTAACATTGAAAACACCCAGGCTGTCTCTAGCTGGGAAAAACTTTCTTCTGCCATTAGCACAGGGTATCGGTCCGACGCAGTCACCTTGTTCAGGCCCCTGCAATCACCGCACATCCTACGCGATAGCACTGCTCCCGTCAGGTCTGTCCTTGCTGCCACCACTTTCGCTGCCGAATTTCCGATTTCGACCTTCTTATTAACCCCAACACTAACAGCTATTGACACTTCTCGGTGCACACCTTCACATCCTGAGGGCTCATTCCCCGCCTTCTTTGGTATAGTGGCACTTCACTCGTCAGCGGTAGCCTCATTATGCTTGTCGTGCACCTCCCACTGCTGGCCAAAGTATGCGCGAATGCTGCTTTGTGCCTCCTCAGCACAGCCTGTAGTTGTTCAGCTGCTTCCCCTTTCATTGCTCACCGAATTTTCCATCCCACTGCCGTTCCTTCAGCTCCCCTTCCCTCTGTTACTCGTGTCAGACCTCCTACTCCTGCATCTCCTTCCTCCTGCGGACCATCCTTCCCTCCTGCAGACCATCCTTCCCTCCTGTTTCCTATTCCAGCGCCATCTGGATCTGGTCCCCATCTCCCGAACGGATCTTCCTCTTGCTCACTGTCCCAGTCCACTTCCGGTTCGAGCTCCATCTCCTCTGTCTCTTCCGCCCACTGATTTGGGTATCTGCCTGCCCTGCTGTCTCTCCAGGTCCACCTATCCATTCCATCCTCCTAGGGTTCTCCTTGCCTTCTCGTTTCCCATGCATCCTCCTCCAGACGCTCCAGCAGGATTTCCGCCTCTTCTTCCTTGCCCTCATCTTCCCTTGTCTTTGGTTCTGCCCTGGCTGCATGATCTCTCCTCCTCTCCATCCTGTTCCTCTCCCAGTGCCAATTCAGGGTTCCCATCAGCCAATGCCTGACGAGTGCATTGACGTAAATATTACGAAACAAACGGCAATGTATGAAGTTGGACCCGCCCTAAGCTCCCTGATGGTTGGACCCCAGCTCAAGGTGAGGAGGGCAAAGGAGCAAGGGGAGGGAGAAGTAGAGGCCCTGGAGGCCATGGCGGTCCCGGAGGTGGAGCTGCAAACATGAATGACGGAGAACACGAGAACGACTCGAGCGACGATCGGTTCCCAGGTCAAATTTTCTTCGTGTCGACGCAAGCACCGGCTGCACCAGCGAGGGATGAAGCCTTTGAAGAGCTAGTTGCTGTGGGGAAGGTCAGCCTACACTTGCTGGAGTATTGGGTGATTGATAGCGGCACTACCTATAGCCTGACGCCTCGCACGAACTTGCTCACCGAACTTGAACCGTCACCGGTGAAACATGTCACTTCAGCTTTGGGGCAGCGATCCGAGGTGAAAGGCTTGTGCAAGGCTATGTTAAAGGGTGCTGATGGGAAGATGGTGGTCCTCAATAACATGCTTTGGGTGCCCAACCTTGCAGCCAATCTTATCTCCCTGCGGCGGTTGCAAAAGGTCGGCATGGACACGACTTTCAAGGGATCCAAGACCTATACCGTGAGGCTTGGCGAGCAGATTCTTTTGGACCTTCACAAGGACACGGATGTCTACAACGAGATGTGGAAGACCTATGTGGTCCCAATGCATAAGGAGAGGCAAGCAGCAGCAAGCGTCAGCACCAAGGGTGAAGCAGTTGGTAGCAGCAATGACAAGAACGAAAGTGCTAACGAGAATAGGTTTAAGAGGAGCAACCTTGGTGGGACCAGCGAGCAGTATCACCACAAGGATATTGGTGCAGCAGCCAAATAGCAGTCTAAGGGTGAGGAGAACCCCAAGGCAGCAGTGGAGGAGTGCGGAGAGAGCATGTGGGGCACTATTGTAAGTGCCGCGTTCTCCAATCTGACTTCGGCTACGGGGGAGTGTGATTGGCTGACTTTGCATCGGCAGTTTGGGCATGTGACATTGCCCATTTTGCATCAGCTATTGAAGCAAGCGATGGTTGCTGGGATACTTGTCACGCGGGAGCCCACCGAGGTACTTGGCGGCAGCAAGGCAAGTTCACTCGTTTCTCATTCTCTAGCTCGGAGCCAACGGCTAAGGCACCACTTGATGAAGTGGTGATGGTTGTGGTGGGCCCCTTGAAGCTTGGAGCTGCTGGACCTGAGTATTTCCTCACCATAGTTGACTTCTACACCCACATGACTTGGGTGTATGTGCTGTCCAAGAAGAGAGGCGAGGCTGAAACGGTGAAGGGGGATTGGTTGCCAGTTTTGAGCGACATCAAGACTGGCTTGTGAAGTCAATCCGCACCACCCGAGGAGGAGAGGTCATGAGCAAGGAACTCTCTATGTGGCTGAAGAAAATTGTCATAAGGTACTCCCTCACCATGCCATACTCCTCTTCAATTAACGATCTTGCCCAGCGAGCGATCCGGATGCTCACGAAGACGGCACATGCGCTACTAATTGAAGCCGGGCTACTCGACTATTTCTGGCTAGATGCGTTGCGGTATGCTTGTGTGGCCAGAAACAGAGTCTTGCCTCATGTCGGAGCAGACAAGTGGGTGTTATTTGAGGAGTGGATTGGCAGGAAACCGAACGTGGACAGGCCTCGAGTGTTTGGGCGCATGTGCATGGTACTTGTGCCTAAGCAACTTTGGCAAAACAAGCTAGATGCCAAAACAATATGGCCCGTACACAGGCCCTCAGATTGGTTTGAGGGCACGCTGATCAATCAGTGCTGCACCTTCAAAATAAAATTTACACTGATGTATCAGTGCTAGCTGAAACCTTTACCCTGATTTTCCAGTGCAGTCCTGGTAGATATACTGATTCATCAGTGCAAAATGTATCAGTCATGAACATTGGCAAACAGTGTAGTTGGCGGAAGCCAACCATATGCCTATGGAACATCCAAGTGGTGGCGATTTTTGCGAGGATCTTGCCTAACTCCCACTGTACACACGTACCTTGTCATGTACACTATACTGATTGATCAGTGTGACGTGACTAGTACACGACTATACTGATTTGTTAGTGTGAATATAGACTTGTAACTGAAAAATCAGTGCTTACAAATACAGCATACTGAATTACCAGTGAGACCCAAAAAAACAGCTGCATAATCATCGAAATCAGCATATTTTAGACTGATAAATGAGGGCATGATTGTGCACTTGGGCATGGCTCAAATCAGCAAGGAATGGCTTCTTTGGGACCCATTTACCAGGAGTTCCTTGTGAGCAAGGGCTCCAAATTCATGGAGAGCCATATGTACAAGGATTGAAAGGCAGAATATGAGGCGGAGATTGGCGTGCCGTGCGGCTTAGTGGGGTGAAGCGATCCGGCTTGGAGCATATAGAGCTACCCTTAGAACTGAGCAGTAGCAGCTCCATCACAAGGCAATCACTTCTAGTGAATGGTGTTAGAATTGTATGTTCTAGCATGCTAACACTTGTGACTGTACCAATTTTGGTGTACAGTTGGGTTGGGACTACACCCAACTTTGGGTGTAGTCTTGCATGATGGGGTGCCAATCCAACCCAATTGTGGTGGAGCCCCCAAATGCAACCCACTTGGCCTCAGGTTGCCTCACTTCCCAAAAGTGAGGCCAACCCAACCCAAGTAGGCCTGAGGTTGCCTCACTTCCCACAAAGTGTGGTCAACCCAACCCACTTGACCTTAGGTTGCCTCACTTCCCAAAGTGAGACCAACCCAACCTATGGTCAACCCAACCTTTCCCCTACAAGCTTCTCATCCAACCTATGTATGCTTGTTCCTCCTCTAATCAAAGCATTGGTTCAGTTTACAACTTTCACATGGTATAGAGCTAATGTTTCCTTGGCCTTACCTCTCCCCCTTCCAGTGTGTTCCTTCCATGGGCCCACCCTACAGTTACAAACCCTTTAGTATCGTGGCTCTACTAGCCGCCGTTCGCATACTTCACCCCGCGACCCTCGCGTCGCCGCCTTCACTCCCCGCGACCGCATTTTAAGCCGTCGCCGCTCTCCCTCTCTCCCGCCGCGACCTAAGTCGTCGCCGCCGCTCGTCCTTCCCGCCGCGACCTAATTCGTCGCCGCATCCTCTCTCCCCGCCGCGATTGCGCCTTCCCCGCCTGCGAATTCCACCGCCGCGACCACATCGCCGTCGTCCCCTAATCCCGTCACCGCGACTCTCTCGTCGCCGCCTGCCCGTCCCGCCGCCGCGACTGCCTCGTCGCCGCCTGCCCGTCCCACCGCCGCGACTCCCTCGTAGCCGCATGCGGTACCCGCCGCCGCGACTGCACGTCGCCGCCTGCCCATCCCGCCGCCGCGACTGCCTCGTCGCCGCCTGCCCATCCCGCCGCCGCGACTACGTCGTCGCCGCCTGCTGTACCCGCCGCCGCGACTGCACGTCGTTGCCTGCCCATCCCGCCGCCGCGACTGCACCGTCGTCGCCCGCGGTTTCCGCCGCCGCGACTGCGCTGTCGCCGCCTGCGATTCCCGCCCCCGTGACTGCGCGTCGCCGCCTGCGCATCCCGCTGCCGCGACCGCATCGTCGCCGCCCGCTGTTTCTGCTGCCGCGACTGCGCATCGCCGCCTGCCCGTTCCGCCGCCGCGACTGCCTCGTCGCCGCCTGCGGTTCCCACCGCCGCGACCGCGCCGTCGCCGCCTGCGGTTCCCGCCGCCGCGACTACGCTGTCGCCGCCTGCCCATCCCGCCACCGCGACCGCGTCGTCCCCGCCCACGCTTCCTGCCGCCGTGACTGCCCCGTCACCACCTGCAGATTCCGCCGCCACTGCACCCTCCCCGTCCCCACCGCTCCCTCCTCCTCTCCCTCTCCCCCCCCCCCCCCTCTCAGCCGCCGCAGCAGCTTACCCAGCAGCAGTAGCGGCAGCGGCAGCAGCAGCTCCAGCAGCAACAACAACTTCACCCTCCCTTCCCCCCTCTCCCTCCTCCCCCCCCCCCTCTCCCCCTCCTCAGCGGCAGCGTCAGCAGCAGCAAGCAGTGGAGTTCAGCAGCAGCAGCAGCAGACGGTGGAGTGCAACAGCAGCAGCGGCAGTGGCAGCAGCATCTTTAGCAGCAACAACGACTGCACCCTCCCTTCCCCCTCTCCCTCCTCCTCTCCCTCCCCCCCTCCTCAGCTGAAGCGGCAGCAGCGGCAGCAGCAGCAGCAGTGAGCAGTGGAGTGCAACAGCAGCAGCGGCAGTGGCAGCAGCATCTACAACAGCAACAGCGACTGCACCCTCTCTCCCTCCTCCTCTTCCTCTCCCCCTCCTCAGCCGCAGAGGCAGCAGCGGCAGCAGCAGCAGCAGCGAGCTGTGGAGTGCAGCAGCAGCAGCAGACGGTGGAGTGCACTAGCAGCAGCGGCAGTGGCAGCAGCATCTTGTGGAGGTGGAGTGCAGCAGCAGCAGACGGAGGGGTCCAGCAGCAGCAGCAGCAGCAGACGGAGGAGTGCAGCAGCCTCAGCAGCAGCAACCTCCCCCTGGCCGCCGCGGGTCCACCCGCCGTCGCCTCACCCTTGACCGCCGCGGGTCCACCCGCCGTCGTCTCCCCCCTTGGCCGCCGCGGGTCCACCCGCCGCCGCCCCTCATGTCGGCCAACCCTCCTGCCCCTCTCCCCCCTCCCATCGACGCCTCCTCGGTCGACAAGCTGCAACTCGCTGCAGATCGCTCGGCCATCAATTGGCATTCATTTGTCGGCAGCATTCGCCGCGTCCTCCAGGACGCCTTCGTCGGACCCTACTGCGTCCTTGACGTCCTCCTTCGCCGTCCGCGCGCTCTCCAGCCGACAGCACCCAATCACCTTGGCGAACCTCCTCCTCTCCCTCCCCCTCCTGGCTCTCCTCCTCCCGAGCCTAACCTGGACGAGGCCGCTACCACTGAGCTTCAAGGTGCTGCCGACGCCACCTTCCTCCACAACCGCCGCGAATACCTCATCCGCAAGGCCGCCCATGAGGTTGCTGTGCACAACTACGAGTTTCGCGACGTCGGACCGTGCCACTCGTCTGGCACTGCTTGCAGATTACAACACGGCCATGGCGCCTCACATCCCCAACAGTATCGCCTGGGCCGCTCCCGACAACCGCGCCTGCACCATCCTCCTCGGTGCACTCCCCGACACCCTCATGTGCCGCTTCCAAGCTCGTGAAATGCGAGCCTCCCTGATTTGGGCTGAGCTCCAGTCCATGTTTGAACATCGCAACATCAGCTCCGTCTGCGTTCTCTTCCAGGAGTATTTCTCCATTACCCTCGCCACCTGCAACGGTGCAGACAACTACGTGGGGCGCGTGCAGGAGGTCGCTGATCGCCTTGCAGCTCGTCAGGCTGCCCTCCCCGAGCCCCTGCGGATTCATCGTCTGCTCTTCAGCCTCACGCCAGATTATTAGTTTCGTCTCCACGCCTTCACCGAGGCAAACCCCTTGGCTGGCCTCAACGAGGTGGTTCAGTGGATCATTGACACGGAGCTCAAGCTCCGCACCCCCATTGTCAACCTCACCAACCCTCAGTCCTCCTCCTCCACCTCCCTCAATGCCACGCAACCAGGATGGTCGCAACGGCGGCGGAGGGGGTCGTGGAGGGGGGCCGTGGTGGAGGGGGTGGTGGTGGTGGTCGGGGTGGTGGTGGTGGTGGTGGTGGTGGTGGCCGTGGTGGTGGTGGTGGTGATGGTACTGGTGGTACCACTCCTGGTGCCGGTGGAACTGTGAGTCATGGAGGTCGCCCTGGGACTCTCTCCCCCTGCACGTACGTTCGCCGTCATGGTCCCCACGCCGGCACGCCCTGTGGTCAGACCAACCACCCCCCTGTCACGTACTTCAAGGCGCTCGATGACGCCTGGTTTGATCGCGGCAACACAGGTACCCCTTCTCGCTGGAACAGTGTTACCCCTCGCCCCTCCCTCGTGGACATCCAGACCCTCCCCTCCTTCCTCCCTACTCACCTCCGCCTTCTCACCCCCTCCCCCCCTTCCTAGCTGCAGCAGTTTCAGCAGCACCAGCAGCAGCAGCAGTACTTCCCTTAGCAGCAGCAGTCACAGTTTCTCCAGCCACAGCAGCCGCAGTTTCTCCAGCCGCAGCAGCCACCGCAGCAGCAGTTCTTCCAGCAGCAGTAGCCGCCGCAGTACCTTCAGCCGCAGTGGCAGCAGCAGCCGATGACCTTCGGCACAGCGGCCATGACCGCTCATGCCTCCCTTGCTCTCCCCCCCCCCCCTGGGGTTCCCTCCCCTCTGCCCCCCCCAGTGTCCCTGACTCTCAGGGCAGTTTCCGTGGTCATGTTGCTGTTGCACCATCCGTCGCTTCCATGTATCCCTCTGCTATCAATGATACGTCTTTCGAGTACCCCGTGTCACCTCCCCCCCCCTTCCTCCCCCACCCTGGACTTTGTCCTTGATATTGGGGCCACATAAACTGCACTAAAGACGCTGGCACCCTCACCCCCCTTCCACTTCCCACCCAGGTTCATGGTGCTGACTCCAGCTTTTCCATCCCATGCACTCGCCTCTCCACCCTCCCTTGCACCTCTTTCCCATCAGGTAAGGTCACAGGTCTCCACATCCCTACCCTTCGCAACAACCTCCTCTCTCACCGAGAGCTCCAAGGTGTTGGTATTACCGCCATTTACCCTGGTTTTGCTACCTACTGTGATCTCTACCACACAGCCTCTGGTCGCTTTCTCCTGCGCATTCCCCTTTGCCCTCGCACTCGCCTTTACACGCTCCGCACACCCCGTCCCTCTTTCTGTCACGTTACCACTCGTGATGGTACTTCCACCGATCCCCCTCCCCCTCCCCCTCCCCCTCAGGTATCCTCCTCCCCTACTTCATCCCCATCCTCCTCCCCCCCCACCTCTTCCCCCACCCCATCCCCCTCCTCCTCTACTGCCCTCTCCCACCCAGCAGTACTTTTGCATCACAAACGCGGCCATCCCAAATTCGCCGCACTTCGCACCACCGTCACCTCTCGCCTCCTTAACAACCTTCCTCCCGCATTACCTCCCCTCCCCTCCTCCCCTGCTCCCCCATGCCCATCATGCATTCATGGCAAGCTCAAACAGTCCCCCCATCACAGCCATCCCACCTTCGTTGCCGCTCCCATTGACCTTGTTCACATGGATCTCTGGGGTCCCTATCCCATCCGCTCCCGTCGGGGGCATCGGTACATGCTCGTCCTCGTCGACGACCACAGTCGGTACTCCACTGTCTTTTTCCTTCACACAAAAGGTGCCGGCTGTGGTCATCAACTGGGCTGAGCAGTGCCGCACTCACTTCAAACGCCCCATTGGCCGCCTTCACTCTGACGGTGGGGGTGAGTTCATCAACAATACCCTCGCCACTTTCTGCAAAAACACATGGCATTCAGCAAAATGGCATTACTGAGAGTCGAATTCGTGAGATCACCAAAATTGCTCGTTGCATCATTGCTCACGCCTCCACCCCTCCTTCCCTCTGGAGCTATGCCCTCCTTCATGCCGCCCTCCTCCTCAATCTCCGCTCCCACCCTCAGCATCCCTCCTCCTCCCCCGCAGAACTCTGGTCTAAGGCCAAGCCTGATGCTGCCGGCCTTCGCGTTTGGGGCTGCAAGTCTTTCGTCCTCATCCCACCGGCCGATTGCTCCCGCGCTGCTGGCAAGCTCGCCCCTCGTGCCCTGGAGTGCGTCTACCTCGGGCACAATCGCGTCTCCCCAGGCTACCTGTTCCTCCACCCTCCCACCAACCGCCTCATCCGCAGCATTGACATCACTGACGAGTCCATTCCCTACTACTCCACTCCTCCTCCTGACCCTCTCCCTCCTCCCTCTCGCCCCCTCGCCTGGACCGACATTGTCCTCCCACCTCTCCTCCCTCCCGCTCCTCTCCTCCCCCCTGTCGCCGCTCCACTCCCCCCTTCCTCCTCTGCCGACGTCTACAACCCCGCCGCACCCTCCTCCTCGGCCCACTTAGCTGCGCCCCCTCCCCCCTCTCCCTCCTCCTCTCACTCTCCCCCTTCACAGCAGCAGCAGCCGCAGCGGCCGGGTCCGCAGCAGCAGCCAGGGAAGCAGCAGCAGCAGCAGCATCCGGTCAGCAGCAGCAGCAGCGGCAGCAGCAGCAGGGGCAGCAGCAGCAGCAGCAGCCGGGTCAGCAGCAGCAGCGGCGGCAGCAGCAGCAGGGGCAGCAGCAGCAGCAGGGGCAGCAGTAGCAGCAGCAGCAGCAGCAGCAGCAGCAGGGGCAGCAGCAGCAGCAGTGGCAGCAGCATCAGGCAACTTCCCGCTCCTCCCCTTTCCTCCTCCCTAGCATGCATACCCGCTCCCTAGACAAAGTCCTTGGTACTCCTCCTCCCGCCTCCATTCAGCTCCTTGTGGACTCCCATGAGGAGTTCCTCAACATTCGCCACCACACTCCTTTCCTTGCCTCCCTCTAGCTTGACTTCCTTGGCTTTCCCGTCCTTGGCGCCACCTCCACCCCCACCATCTTCACTCCCTCCACCTTCCATGAGGCCACATCACCTGCCCTGATGCGGACAAGTGGATCGCGGCAATCTTCCTGGAGTGTGAGGCATTCATTCGCAACGACTCCTTCGTTGATGTCCCCCTCCCAGCCGACGCCAACCTTGTCGAGTGGAAGTGGGTCTTTCGGGTGAAGCAGCTGCCGGGCGAGGAGCCGGTCTAAAAGGCCCGCTATTGCGCAAAGGGTTTCACCCAGACTTGGGCCGAAGATTATTGGTTCACCTTCGCCCCCACCGCCAAGCCGCCCACCCTTCGCACCCTCCTCGACATTGGTGCGCGCAACGACATGGAGATCTACTCCATGGACGTCTCCAACGCGTTCCTGCAGAGCGACCTGCACGAGCGCATCTTCCTCCGGCGCCCCCCCGGGTTCCACGCCGCCTTTCCTGATAACAATGTGTGGCAGCTGCATCGACCTGTTTACGGTTTGAAGCATGCGCCAAGGGAGTGGCACGCGAAGCTGTCTGCCACCCTGGGGTCCCTTGGCTTCTCTGCCTCGCATTCTGACGCCAGCCTCTTCCTTCGCTCCTCACCTCGCCGCTTCTTCATTCTGGCGTATGTGGATGAAATGATCCTGCTTGCTGACTCCAAGGCTGACATGGAGCAGATGAAGCAGCAGCTGCAGCAGCGCCTCAAGTGCAAGGACCTGGGCGACTCACGCACTACCTGGGCATGGCTATCATGCGCGACCGTCCTGCTCGCACCATCACCCTCTCCCAGTCCCATTACATCGGCCAGGTCTTGGAGAAGTTCGAGATGGTGCAGGCCAGTCCCATGGCCACCCCCCTCCCTTTCGGCCACCAGCTTGCCCCACCCACTTCTCCCTCCTCCTCCCCTCGCCCCTATGCTGAGCTCGTTGGGTCGCTGATGTATGCTAAGATGTGCACCCGCCCCGACCTTGCCTACCCCATCAGCGTGCTCGCTCGCTTTGTTGGCACCGGTCGCCACACCGAGGTGCACTGGAAAGCTGCTAAGAGGGTCCTCCGCTACCTTCGCGGCACCAAGGACCATGCCCTCACTCTTGGTGGCCCCTCCCCTCCCGTGCTTTCGAGCTTCAGCGACTCCTCCTGGGCTGACTCGCAGCTAGACCGCCGCTCCTCTCAGGGTTACGGCTTCACCCTTGGCAGCGGCCTTGTCAGCTAGCGCTCCACGCACTCCTCTGCCGTTTCCCTCTCCACCTGCGAGGCCGAGCTCTACGCTGGCACCATGGCCGCTCAGGAATCCCGCTGGCTCTTCTTTCTTCTTGCTGAGCTTGGCGCCCCTCAGCCCTGCCCCACCCTCTGGTGTGACAACGCCAGCACCACCCATCTCACTCAGGACCCCGTCTACCACGCCCGCTCCAAGCACATCGAGCTGCGCTATTTCTTCATCCGCGAGCTCGTCCAGAGAGGCCTTCTTGCAGTTCGGAAAATTGCGGCGGAGGCCAACTTGGCCGACATCTTCACCAAGGCCCACCTTCACCCTGCGCACTCTGTTCTCCTCCGTCTCATTGGCCTTGCTCGCCCGGGGGTTGTTCTCTTCCTGTGTTCGCATGCTAAGGGGTTGTGTTAGAATTGTATGTTCTAGCATGCTAACACTTGTGACTGTACACCAATTGTGGTGTACAGTTGGGTTGGGACTACACCCAACTTTGGGTGTAGTCTTGCATTGCTGGGTGCCAATCCAACCCAATTGTGGTGGAGCCCCCAAATGCAACCCACTTGGCCTCAGGTTGCCTCACTTCCCAAAAGTGAGGCCAACCCAACCCAAGTGGGCCTGAGGTTGCCTCACTTCCCACAAAGTGTGGTCAACCCAAGCCACTTGACCTTAGGTTGCCTCACTTCCCAAAGTGAGGCCAACCCAACCTTTCCCCTCCAAGCTTCTCATCCAACCTATGTATGCTTGTTCCTCCTCTAATCAAAGCATTGGTTCAGTTTACAACTTTCACAAATGGGGGAGAGAACGCTAGATAAAAGGTTGGTTTGGGGCAAGATATTGGTGTTTGAGGCGTGTCTGACAAGAGGGTAGTCTGACTGGAGGCCGTAGGAACACGGTCTAATGAATGCAAGCATTTTTACAAAAGCTGTTGCAAACATCTCAACGAGTTCTCAAGTGGTCATAGCAGGCTGTGCTGCGGCTTCTCCTCATGTCTCTGCAAGGGGCAAGGGGCACACCTGCAGCACCAGCGTTGACTTGCCCGCTCTGTGAGCCCTGTTAATGCGGCGTAACGTTAGCTCGAATCCATACCAGCGTGGCATCAATGGCATGCTGGTCGCAGTAGATCCTGTGAAATCCACATTGGGGGGGCAGGGCAGCATGGTAAGGTGCATGGACAGCTGGCCTCACACTGCCGGCTCGGCGTGGTGCACCATCCATGCACTGGTAGGTGCACCATCCATGCACTGGTAGACAAAGGAGAGCAAGGAAGGAAAGAGGAGAGCAGGCGAAAAAATGAAAGAGGGCAGGTGAGGACAGTGGAGAGCAGGCACGAGCACGAGCGAGGGTGGAAGATGCAGAGAGCATGCGAGGGTGGGTTGAGAGAGAGTCGTACTCCAGCTGTGTCCGGTACCCCTTCAGCGCCCTCTCCTCCTCCGCCCTCTCCCTGCGCTGCTCTCGCCTCACCGCCTTCTCCCACGCCCCCCCGCTGCCCCCTCCTCCTCCAACACCACCCTTCCCCCCTTCGCTCTCTGCCCCAAACCTCCCCCCCTGCCGCTCCCCACCCGCCTGCCCCTCCCCACCCAGGTGCCCCTCCCCACGCGTCGACCCATCAAAGTCCCGCAGCACCATCCCCACCAGCTCCTCCTGGGGCGGGCAGGGGGGAGGAGGATGGAGGCGTAGAATTTATTGAGCAAGTGCACACGACACGAGTACAGCAGCTGACATGGGCGAGGTGAGAAGCAGGGACGCGGTTGGTTCAAGTAACATAAAGCTCAAAGGCAGCAGCAATCACCAAGCGGTTTGACACACATCAACACACTGCTGATTCACGCACCTCTGCTGCTTCACGCACCACTATTGTTTGGCAATTCCTCTCACCAGGGGGGTAATTCCTCTCACCAGGGGGGTAATTCCTCTCACCAGGGGGGTAATTCCTCTCACCAGGGGGGTAATTCCTCTCACCAGGGGGGCAATTCCTCTCACCAGAGGGGCAATTCCTCTCACCAGGGGGGTAATTCCTCTCACCAGGGGGGTAATTCCTCTCACCAGGGGGGTAATTCCTCTCACCAGGGGGGTAATTCCTCTCACCAGGGGGGTAATTCCTCTCACCAGGGGGGTATATCCTCTCACCAGGGGGGCAATTCCTCTCACCAGGGGGGTAATTCCTCTCACCAGGGGGGTAATTCCTCTCACCAGGGGGGTAATTCCTCTCACCAGGGGGGTAATTCCTCTCACCAGGGGGGCAATTCCTCTCACCAGGGGGGCAATTCCTCTCATCAGGGGGGCAATGTCTCTCACGAGGGGGGAGTGGGCGGGCAGCCATCGGAAGAGCGGTTGGGAGCGGAACCACGTGATCTGGCGCTTGGCGTAGCGCCGCGACGCCTGCTGGAACTCCAAGATGAACGCCACCAGCGCCTCCTGCAGCTCCGCCTGCAGCGCTTCCTGCAGCGCCCGCTGCACCTCCACCTGCTGCTCTTGCTGCCCTCGCTCCTCACTGCTCCCCGCTTCCCCTTCCACCTGCTTCTCTTGCTCTCTGGTCTCCATGAGGAGCTGGCAGTGCAGCAGGAAGGACATGGCCTGGCGGTAGCCGATGGCGCGTGTGGGCGAGGAGGAGTCGGGCCGAAGCCCTGCTCGCAGCAGCGCCAGGCTCTCCTCCAGCAGCCCGCCTGCCGCCCGTGCGGGCGGAGACAGCGCGCGTGAGGGCACGGGGCGATGGGGCATGCAGGGGAAGGCAAGACATGGATGCATGAGGACGAGGGGGCGCCGTGGGGTTGAGAAAGGCGTGTGGACTTGTGTGGTGCAGGCGAGGGCAATGGTGAGAGGAGGGTGCAGCGGACTGGAGTCACCAAGTACAAGCATTCGGTCGGTAGAATCTCAAAGGCCGTATGTCCTTCCACCTGAGCACGCACCAAGGCTCGCCTCACCTTGCACCATGGCTCGCCTCACCTTGCACCATCTCTTCGCAGCGTCTATCGATTCGGCGGTACAGCGGCAGGCGAGGGGCGTCCAGGAAGAAGCAGTGGAAGGCGAATGGCGGCGCCGACGCGGCAGCAGCAGGCGGGGCGGTGTGTTTGGCGTGGTGGGAAGGCACGGTGATCTCTGATCGAGGCCGACCCGTGGCCTGAGGGAGGGAGACACACGCACGCTTACACAGGCTTGGAAAAGGGCGTGGCGCGGAGAGGAGGGAAAATTGTCATCAAGGTGAAGAGGAGTGAAAAAGAGGAAGACAGGGAAGGAGAGGACAGTGGCATGGGCGGATTAGTGTGGCTCACTGTCCCTGGCCTGCTGGATGCGGGACACTCCTCCACCATCATGCTCTCACCACTCTTGCCTCTTCACCACTCTTGCCTCTTCACCACTCTTGCCTCTTCACCACTCTTGCCTCTTCACCACTCTTGCCTCTTCACCACTCTTGCCTCTTCACCACTCTTGCCTCTTCACCACTCTTGCCTCTTCACCACTCTTGCCTCTTCACCACTCTTGCCTCTTCACCACTCTTGCCTCTTCACCACTCTTGCCTCTTCACCACTCTTGCCTCTTCACCACTCTTGCCTCTTCACCACTCTTGCCTCTTCACCACTCTTGCCTCTTCACCACTCTTGCCTCTTCACCACTCTTGCCTCTTCACCACTCTTGCCTCTTCACCACTCTTGCCTCTTCACCACTCTTGCCTCTTCACCACTCTTGCCTCTTCACCACTCTTGCCTCTTCACCACTCTTGCCTCTTCACCACTCTTGCCTCTTCACCACTCTTGCCTCTTCACCACTCTTGCCTCTTCACCACTCTTGCCTCTTCACCACTCTTGCCTCTTCACCACTCTTGCCTCTTCACCACTCTTGCCTCTTCACCACTCTTGCCTCTTCACCACTCTTGCCTCTTCACCACTCTTGCCTCTTCACCACTCTTGCCTCTTCACCACTCTTGCCTCTACACCACTCCTGCCTCGTAAACACACAGTGCATCCCACAAGCACACAGTAGCTCCCACATGCGCACATACCCTGAGAATCTCAAACGCCCTGGTCAGCCGGTACCAGTCATTCCGTGCCAGCTGGCCTGCTGTGATTGGGTCGCCCGCAGCAGCAAGAGCAGCCAGGGCGGCCTCCCAGTCGCCCTCCTCCGCATACCTCACACGCGGCTGCCTGCTCGCCCACCCCCGCTCCCTCGCCTCTCCCCCTGTCCCCGCTTCGCCCTGCCCCGTCTCCTCCTCCATTCCCCCCACAACCATGCCGCCTCCCCCCACAGCCATGCCACCTCCCCCCACACCCACTCGCGCACCATCGTTGCCCTCCTCGCTCCTCTCGTCGGCACTCAACGCTATCTCCAAGCCGCCCCTCACTGCCTCGCCTGCTGATTCCTTTCCCTCCATCACCCCCTCTGCTGCATCCCCCTCACCCCCACCTGCTGCCTCTTCTGCCCCACCAACCGCCCCTACGCTCCTCTCATCCCCCCTCATCCCCCTGGCCTGCCTGGCGCGCATGACAGCGGCGTGGATCTCGGCGGCCACGGCGTGCTCCAGCGCGGGGCACGAGGGGGGCGTGGCAGGGCGGCCGTGCAGCAGCCATGCGAGGTAGAGCCCCGTGCCGCCCACCACCACGGGCACGCCCCCCCGCTGCACCACGCCCTCCACGGCCGCACGCGCCGCCTCGTAGAAGTCGCCCGCCGTGAACTCTGGGGGTGCAGGGGGGGTGCAGGGGGGGGTGCAGGGGGGGTTGCAGGGGGGGCGAGGAGGGGGCATGCTGCTGCTGACATGCTGCTGCTCATGCGCTGTGTGTCTCATCGCCATCATCAAGCTACCCCGCCTGGCTCCCTCCCTGCACGCACCCTGCACCTTACACTCACCGTGCCCCATTCCATAACACTCACCTTGCTTGCCTCCCCCCCACTGCACGGCCCCGCCACCTCGTCACGCCCCACCCACCGTGCCCCACCGTGCCCGACCGTGCCCGACCGTGCCCCACCTTGCCCCACCTTGCCCCACCGTGCCCCACCGTGCCCCACCGTGCCCCACCTTGCCCACCGTGCCCCACCGTGCCCGACCGTGCCCCACCTTGCCCCACCTTGCCCCACCTTGCCCCACCATGCCCCACCTTGCCCACCGTGCCCCACCGTGCCCCACCGTGCCCCACCTTGCCCACCGTGCCCCACCGTGCCCCACCGTGCCCCACCGTGCCCCACCGTGCCCAACCACCGTGCCCCACCACCGTGCCCAACCACCGTGCCCCACCGTGCCCAACCACCGTGCCCCACCACCGTGCCCAACCACCGTGCCCCACCACCGTGCCCAACCACCGTGCCCCACCACCGTGCCCCACCACCGTGCCCCACCTTGCCACGGCTCGCGGATGTCCAGCAGGTGGTGCGGCACGCGGCGCTGGTGGGCAGGGGAGGGCTTGGCGGAGCCGACGTTGAGGGAGCGGTACACCGCCACCGAGTCCGCACTCACCACCTCGCCGCCTCGCACCGCCTGCGCCACGGCCAGCGCCAGGCGCGACTTGCCCACGGCTGTGGGGCCCGAAATCACAATCACCCGCCGCTCGCCCCCCGCCTCCCGCCCCGCCGCCCCCTCCTCTCGCTGCTCGCGGCCTCCGCGCGCTGCGCTCGCCTCATCCTCCTCGCACGCACCGCCTGTCGGGCCTTGCGCCACCATCCCCTCGCCCCTGCCCCCTGCGCTCCTATCGCCCCCTTCGCTCCTCTCGCCCCCTTCGCTCCGCTCGCACCCTTCGCTCCTCTCACCCCCTTTGCTCCTCTCGCCCCCTTCGCTCCTCTCGCCCCTCTCCGTGCACCCTTGATGCGCGGCCCCTCTCGCGCGTCCCTCCGCCTCCCCCCCGCCCCGCCCTCGCAGCTCGGCCAGCCCGTCTGCCCCTGTACCCGCGCCCCTCGCCGTGCGTTCACGGCCCGCGCGGGTCGCAGTGGCAGCTGCAGCTGCAGCTGCTGGCCCGACCCTACCTCGAGCCTCAGTCACTCGCGCGCCTTCACCTTCTCTTATCCACGCGCCTGGCGCCGCCCCTCCTCGCTCGCACTCGTGCCCAACGCAGCGGCGCACGGAGTCCCGACCGAGCCTGTTTACAAACGTACCGTTGAGCCAACTGTCGAATCTACGCGTCGCGTGACTGCCGAACCTATTATTGAGCAGCATCCCCGTATTGACGGGGTTCGCTGCATCGCGGCGCGCGGACCGGCTGCTATCAGACGATGACGCCGTGTTGGGGGATGGGGTGATTCGCGCGACATCCGTGCGCAAGAGCAGGGTTAAAGGTCGCGAAGCGAGCGGGCGGCGGTGTAGCGGAGCTGCCCTAAGCGAGTTTAACGAGATGCTCGCAGCCATCCATGGACGTAGAACCGCCGCGACACGGAGCGATGATGTGTGGTCAGCTGGTTTCAGGGTGATTTGTCAGCAGGACGTAACCATTTCGGCGTGCGACGTTGGTTTAGGGCGATGTCAGGTTGTACAACTTTCTGTATGCTCCCTGTGGTTAACTTCGTTTCGTCACGTTGCAAAGCGGTAACCTTCAAAACCGCTCAGGACCGTGTAGAACCTTCCTGATACGAGAACTGTAAAAGTGCGAGAAATGTACAACCTGAGTATATTCATGGGAAAATATGTCAATGGTAACTTACATTGGGCACTATAACGCGTACGGTAACGATTTCAACGCGTTTGTTAACTCGCTTATCGCGTTTGGTAACTCGTTTAACACGTTTGGTAACTCGCATCACGCATTTGGTAACTCAACACAGGCGAGTGATCACGCGAATGGTAACTACATGAAACTCCCGCCGAAATGATCCTGACAACGAATAATTTATCAAGTTTGAAAGCTTTTACGCACATTTTTATCTTTCTTGAACAATTCCCGCCGCGACTTTGAAGGACCCCGTTTGTTCTATTACTACGGACCGAAAAGTTTCAGAGCCGTTTTAAATATATATGTAGCTCGTACAAAAACGGTTAAAATCATACTTTTGATAGCATGATTGCGAAATTACAAAATGATAAAAAAAACATTCCCCGAAAGGACCTCGGGGCTTTTAGTTTTTGTAATTACTGTAACGTTGGAGAATTTGTGCATGTGGGATTATACACCTCTTTAGAATTACATGTTTCATTTTTTTTTTAAGAACCATAAACGCCTTGTCGCAAGGGGTTCAGGGTCGCCTCTCAAATTCATTTGCCATCTGAAAGGGGTATAGATTTGTTTGCCCCGGCTGCACGATAGAATGAAGTACAAACAGTTTGCGGAAAGAGCGCCAGAATATCAGTTATGTATGAACAGTTGTTTTCGCAACACTTACGTTTTTGTAATTAGCTTGGAAATCGGAAAGTGTGTCAGGATTTCGGAATGTGTGTCAGAATTTCGGAAAACTGTGTCAGAATTTCGGAGAGTGTGTCAGAGGTTTCTGCTTCAAGATTCGTCAATTTTGTATGACGCGAGCGGGAAAAACCAGAATCAGGGTCATTTTGGGCGAGGGTTTCTTCTAGTTACCATTCGCGTGATGGGCTGCTAGTGGATAGTTACTATACGCGTTAAGCGAGTTACCAAACGTGTTAAGCGAGTTACCAAACGCGTTAAGCGAGTTACCAAACGCGTTGAAATCGTTACCGTACGCGTTATAATGCCCCATGCAAGTTACCATTGACATATTTTCCCTATATTCATACACGTTTCGAACGGACGACGAGTTTCCGATTTCGTGTATCCTCGTGGGCATCTTCGCTGCTCCATGCTGGTACACCAGATGCCCGTTACATTCCCACAAGGTCAATCGACATTTTGGGATTGAACTGAGCACTGAATTTTGTTCTACATGTTCTCATTTTGACGAACCGCCTTCCGTAATCAACTTGATCGGGGGGCTTATAAACTGGGTGCAACTGGCCGGTACCATATGCAATTGGGCAGGCATTCGGGATTGGGCGTACCAAATGTGCGGGCAACAGCTGAGTATCGTGTGTACGGTAATATAACGAAGATGGAAATCCGACGTCCGTTCGAACGTGCGACAATTTTGAGGTTGAAGGTGACGCACCCTTCCACATTTAGGCTTGTAACAAAACTTTTTACGTTATGAAATGCAAATGATAGGAAATAATTCACCCACTGCACAGTTCAGAAACCTCCCCACGACGTGCGGAACACATCCAAAGGTGCAGCTTCAATTCGTCCTGCAGTTCGTATTGTGTTGTATATGTCAAACAGTAACACCGAAAAACCTGTCGCCACTAATTTCGCCTACCCGCTACCTATAACAAAGGGCAAGTCCTAAACATGCCAATCTCTTACGGTATCGGGTAAAGATATTCCAGGACTGAAGCACATCTCGTCGTTGAACCTTGTCAGAGGTTCGAAATGTACACTTGATAAATGGACAAGGTGTTAAGGGGTAGTTTACTGTTCAATGGCCGTTTACCCTAGTATCCCAACCTTATCTTCATCCAATCTCTTCAGGATTTCCAGGATATCCCATCGCCACATGGCACTCTAGTTTTCTTGCATTCCCATTCTAAGTCCCACAAACTATTTGTCAAACTATTATGTTGTGTGTTGTGTAGGCTGTAGTGTGGTAGCCCATATGGGGTACAACCCAATTAGGGTTAGTACTTGTACCCACCTTGTTTCTAGTTCATTCATTCTCGCTTAGTATTCTAACATGATTTCAGAGCAGGTCCACTCCTAGGACCGTTTTTTTTAGGGCCCACCGTATAGCTCGCTGCCCGAATCGCGCTACCCCACCCGTCGCGCCGCCCTGCTGGTCACGCGCTGCCCTGCCCTGCCCGCGCGCCGCCCTGCAGGCCGCACGCTGCTCTGCCGTGCCCGTCGCGCCGCCCTGCTAGCGCCGCGCTGCCCTGCCCTGCCCCGCGTCGCGCCGCCCGCGCGCGCCTTGCCCTGCGTCGCGCCGCCCCGCGCACGCCCTGCTCTGCGTCGCGCCGCCCGCGCGCGCCCTGCCCTGCGTCGCGCCGCCCCGCGCACGCCCTGCCCCGCGTCGCGCCGCCCGCGCACGCACTGCCCTGCGTCGCGCCGCCCGCGCACGCACTGCCTTGCGTCGCGCCGTCCGCGCACGCCCTGCCATGCCCTGCCCGCGCGCCGCTCGCCGCTGCGCCGCCCTGCCCTGCCCGCGCACTGCTCGCCGCCGCGCGGCCCTGCCCTGCCCGCGCGCCGCTCGCCGCCGCGCCGCCCTGCCCTGCACGCGTGCTGCTCGCCGCCGCACCGCCCTTCCCTACCCGCGTGCCGCCCTGCTGGCTGCCGCCCTGCCCTGCCCTGCCTACGCGCCGCCCTGCTGGCCGCCGCCATGCCCTGCCCTGCCTGCGCGCCGCCCTGCTGGCTGCCGCCCTGCCCTGCCCTGCCCGCACGCCGCCCTGCTGGCTGCCGCCCTGCCCTGCCAGTTGCGCCGCCCTGCCCTAGCCGTGCGCCGCCCTGCCCTGCCCTGCGCGCGCCTAGAGCTTGCGTGCTGCCCTGTCAAACATTATACATGTTCATATTGTGTAGGCTATAGTGGGTTTAGCCTTAGGGGGTACAACATTGCTAGGGTTTCCTACTTGTATCACCCTGCTGCCTAGTTTCATCCATTCTCGTTCAGTTCTACATTCTAACATGGTATCCGACGCCTAGGTCAGGACCTAGGACCGACGTTGGTTAGGGCCCACCGTTCCGCCGCGCCCTTGAGCGACCGTGTCTGATAGTACCTCGTGCCGTCGTGCGCCCCTACCCGCGCCGTCGAGCGCCCTTACTAGCGCCGTCGAGCGCCCCCCTTCTAGCGCCGTCGTGCGCCCTGTTGCTAGTTGCGCGCTGCCCACTAGCCTCGCACGCAGCCCCTCGCGGCCCCGTGCAGCCCCGTGTGCCGTCCGCCTGCCTACCCGCGCCCTCGAGCGCCTGCCTACCCGCGCCCTCGAGCGCCTGCCTACTCGCGCCCTTGAGCGCCTGCCTACCCGCGCCCTCGAGCGCCACCCTGCCACCCTGCCCTGCAGGCCGCGCGCGGGCCTGCTCTGCACCCGTGCAGCCGCCCCTGGACCCCGTGGCGCGGCCCCTGGACCCCGCGACGCGTCGCCCTGCTCGTCGCGACGCTTCTGCGGGACCCGGGCGTCGCCCCTGCCTCGTCGCGACGCCCCTACGGGACCCGCGCGTCGCCCCTGCCTCGTCGCGACGCCTCTGCGGGACCCGCGCGTCGCCCCTGCCTCGTCGCGACGACCCTGCGGGACCCGCGCGTCGCCCCCGCCTCGTCGCGGCGCTTCTGCGGGACCCGCGCGCGTCGCCCCTGCCTCGTCGCGACGCCCCCGCGCGACCCGCGCGTCGCCACTGGGACCCGCGCGGAGTCGCCCCTGCTCGCCGCGGCGCCCTGCCCTACCCCGCGCCCGCCCTTGGGACGGCCGCCCCTGGCCCCTGGAGCAGCCGCCACTGCAGCAGCCGCCCCTGGACCCTGGAGCAGCCGCCCCTGCAGCAGCCGCCCCTGGCCACCTGGAGCAGCTGCAACTGCAGGAGCCGACCCTGGCCCCTGGAGCAGCCGCCCCTGCAGCAGCCGCCCCTGGCCCCTGGAGCAGCTGCCGTCGCAGCCCGGCCCCGCCCTGCAGCAGCTGCCGCGGAGCTCCCTGCCGCGGCCCGGCCCCGCCCTGCAGCTGTAGCGGCCCCGCTGTCGCCACCGTCTTGCGCCTGCCCTTCCCACCACTGGTGAGCACTGCCCTGCCCGCGCTGCTACCGCTGCTACTGCTGCTACTGCTTTTACTGCTCCCACTGCTACTGCTCCTGCTGCTACTGCTGTTACTGCCGCTACTGCTGCTACTGCTGCTCCTGGCGTGGCCAGATGCAGCTCCAGGGCCGTGCGCGTGAGTCCCTCACGCCCCAGCAGCTTCGTGAGTGGTACGCTAGTTGGGGCTGTCGGGGTGCCCGTAGTGGGAGTTGCTCTGGAGTGGGTAGTTCGGGAGCTTCTGGTAGTGGACAGGTGCAGCTGCAGCGTCGTCCCCGCAAGGCTCTTTCGCCCCAGCAGCTTCGTGAGTGGTACGCTAGTTGGGGCTGTCGGGGTGGCCGTAGTGGGAGTCGCTCTGGAGTGGGTCGTTCGGGAGCTTCTGGTAGTGGCCAGGTGCAGCTGCAGCGTCGTCCCCGCGAGGCTCTTTCGCCCCAGCAGCTTTGTGAGTGGTACGCTCAG